TATTGATTAAGCAATTCCGAAGGCAAAGACACACAAAAATTTAAAAAAACATTTTTCATGTCTTAATATCATGAAAATAATTCCCTGAGCTTAATAGAAGCCAGTTATATACAGACAGACAATACAATTTATTTTTTATTTATTTATTTTATCTTCAAAGGAAACATACATAATTTTAGTCTATAACATAACACATATTAATATTACATTTAACAATAAAGTTTCCATAGTTAAGTAACAACAAGCGAACATAATGACATACTTAGGTGTGCAAAAACTAGCCCGGCGCGGGGGGGGGCTGCGGCGCCGGCGGGCGCGTGTGCGGCGCGGGAGGGGGCTGGCGTTTAAGTAGGTGGGAAGTTAAGTCAAAGTAACGTATGATATTAAAGTGAAATGATAATTTAGCTATTAATTTAACTATTATCCATTACAGCTTCGATTTCCTTTTTAAACTGTCCATATGACAGAGAAAATATATCAACATGTAAAAAGTTGTTGTTATAAGAATAACATGCGCGAGTTATAAAATTGTTCTTTATATATAAACATTACGCTAGCTGACATAGTGTTTTATGGACACATGAAAATTAACACTTTGTATATTTTTTAAATATTTTTGTAATGTTAGAACCACGTTGAAACTATATTATGGTTGTAGCACGAAAGGGTTGGCTCGACCTGTGAAGTACCACGCTCTCAGAATACCAGCGTGAAATAGTAACTTAATGCTGTTACATTTTGTATGTTGAGTGTAGGGAACCACTAAGTTTCATTCGAAACAAGGCTTTCAATAATAGTCCTCGGGAGTGACAACGCAACTGCATTTTGATCTTAATCGAGAATAAATGTAGATGTCTATGGGCCACAGCACACTCCTACCGTAGGTGGACTGTGGACCGATAAGCGAAATGTAAACGGTTCTCACTAACGGAGTGATGATATGTTGCAGTAAGTTCGTGGGTGTATGTGACTTAGTACCGAGCTTTGTCACATTTTTGGTGGGGTCCTATTTTCAACAGTGGATTTATGGATAGCTCTAATTAATTATAATGTCTTCCAGATCGAGCTTCTACGCAGACCAGGATTATACTACACGAGTGTGGGCGTAAACAAAGGTGCACTCACTATTTCCTCACTTCCATAGACCGCTGTAACGGCAATCTGACACGACCGAAGAGAGATTAGGTGCAGGACCAATAGCTTTAAGCGCTTCTAAAGCCCGGAGCTGAAACACCGACCACCTTCTTAACTAAAACTCTAAGTAGAAGTCCGTACTTAGAGTAATTATAAGTACGGGCAGTTCTAAGTACGATACCTCGTTGTTCTAGTGATAGTAACAACCACTAGACCAACGAGGTAGTCAAAAACAAGAGATTAAAACGAAAACAAGGCTAGTGGTTAGCCGTGTAGTGGCGATGTAAGAGAACCCACATCTTTCCATGGGTTTCGTAAGAGGCGACACAGGAAAATCAAACAGGAGATGTTTTTTTTATAGAATAAGGGTGATAAACGAACACACAGTCCACCTGATGGTAAGTGGATGCTGTGGCCCATAGACATTTACATTTATCCTCGATTAAGAATCAAAACGCAGATGCGTTGGCGACCCTGAGGAGTAAGATAGAACGCCTCGTTTCCAGTAAAAAAAGAGTCTCCGGAACTTTACACTCACCATACGAAACATAGCAGTATTAAGCTGCTATTTTGCGCTGGTATTCTGAAAGAGCGTGGTCCTCACGTTCGAGCCGACTCATTCGTGCTACAACCATAATATAGCTGCAGCGTGGCTGTTCGATTGTTACTCTTATAATAAAGATATCAATAGTTACTTTGCAACCATCCGCTAAATAAAATAAAATAATGTGTCTACCCCAGTTTGAAGAGCACTTTCCGCCCTCCCTCAATTGCGTGCACTAATCCCGTCACCACCAATCCCAGCAACACTACTCCTAACATCACTATTCTAGGATCGACGATAATACGACACGTGTTTCGCCTCTACACGAGGCATCTTCAGGCGATGATGACTCTACGGCGGCCGACCGCTAAGTAAGACTTAGCGGTCTTCAGGTGGCATCTTCAGGTGATGTTGACTCTACGGCGGCTGACCGCTGAATAAGACTCGTGTAGAGGCGAAACACGTATCATATTATCGTCGATGGTGTGTCTTTCCTAGAATAGTGGTGTTGGGATTGGTGGTGACGGGATTAGTGCACGCAATTGAGGGAGGACGAGAGGTGCTCTTCAAACTAGGGAAGACACATCATTTTATTTAATGTAGCATATGGTTGAAAAATAACTATTAATATCTTTATTATAATTGATTTAGTAAAGTAACGCCTGATTGTATCAATTACGTTACCCTTATTCTATTTTTAGAGCTTTGGACCCTTAAAAGTGCATCAGTAAACATTCCAGAAAATCCTACAAAAACAGTCCTGAGCCACATCGATTTCCTGTCTGTGTTACCAAGTGATCACTTCATATAAATAATCTATTTTTAAATAAATGTATCAGGTGGCCTATAAAGTGATAAACCAATTTATAGGCCACCTGATAATAAGTGCCTGCTGCAGACCAGGGAAACTTGCAGCCAACTTAAGTAAAGAAGGCCACAAAAGCGTTGTCACCTCTGAGGACTAAAATGGAATGTCTCACAGCACGTGGAGTGAGAGGCTCCCGCTCCGCTTCGTATACACCATAGATTACTGACTATGTACCCGTAGTCACTGCCTACCCCTCTGGGTGACAGGCGTGAGTGCTTGATTTTTAGTAGTTAATAAAAAAAAGTTTAATAGTTTTAACTCATTTATTACATCAAATGCGTCGCATTATTATGTTTTTTTTTAAATTTAAACAATAAATAAATTGGTGTGATACAATGTTGCCATGGATAGTAACTATTTATTTATATTGTTAGTTCCTTTATATTTGACGTTTAGTTTTGATATAAACATACTCTTGAATAGTTAATATTAAAACACATTTTATGAGTATTTAGTCGATCGTACCCTTTCGTTACTTATTATTGTGTTTATCAGATATAAATAATTAATGGATTACGCTGTAAATTAGATATTTGGAATTTGAAGTATAGATACATATCTCTCCAAATAATAGGATTTCAAAGAAGTGAGACTACGAGATACTTTTTTATATGTTTCATAAATATGAAATCGCAAACAAAGGTGTCTCGATGAGCTAGAATTTGTATCTATACTAGCGATTTTGTAGACAGATATGATTTCAGGCAAATATATTTTAGTTAAAATTAAATAAACTATGTTCGAGAATGTTTATGTCAAAACTTGAGTTAATAATGTAGATATAGTATTATTTATTCTCATACCGATGGATTTGATAAATAGATCACATTATTTCTATTGTTCAATACGTGTTTGTTTATAATATTCACATTTATACATTTAAAGGTAAGCTAGATAGGGAATGAATAAGGTGTAAAAAAATAAAATTTGAAGAAAAAAGTCTTTGGCTGCTGTAATGGTAGATAAGATTGTCCATTGCACTTCGCAGGTACATGAGAAAGATATGCCACGGGCCGAGAAATAAGTGTTAATGATTTTATAATAAATATTGCATTGCACATGCTTACAACGTATCAGTGAACAAACGTGTGGATATAAATTCAAATCACTGGTGCATTTTGTCCTTAAATCACATTTTAAAACCGGATATTTATTAACCGATTACCGTACATAAACACATTTGTTTCTTTAAAATAGCACCAATATACCAATATCAGCACAAAGCGTGCACCAAAGATCGCTGGCAACACTTTTTTTTACATAAAACAATTCAAAAATTAGCGACAACAAACTTTAAGTGGCAAATTAACCAAGTGGAGGTATTATGCGTATAATAGTCGACTTTTCTAAATATTTTAGACGCGATTAGCACATATAGACAGTATATTGAACATTTTTTTTTGATCACACATCCCTAAAACATTAGAAAATATACAATAGTCTCATGTAAATAGATATGTAGTTTTATAAGTAAAATTAATTATTCACTATGGTAACACTTCCTACGGAATTATAGAACAATAATTAGTTTTCATCGATTTCCTTTTAATATATAACTGATTTGTATACGATAAGTAATTTTAAATGATTTTTATTTTATAACCAATATTTACTCAAACAACGCTGAAATCAAGTTGCACTGACATATTTTTGTCAAGGATAAAAAACTTTCTAAATCTTAATAAAATTACTTGAACAAAATTATATTAATAATTAATATAATAAAAATTAACGAATGTTAAAATTTACAAATACTACAACTTAATAAACAGAAGTGTAGCAAACTACAATTATATAAACATACCTAAATTTATTTGGTCTCAGTTAACAGTTGTCTTAACAAAATACAATGACATAAGAGATTAATTATTTATTACAATGATATGGGGCTCTTCAGTAAAGTTTCCTGTATTGCGATAAATATGACAATTAGCAGAGTACATGCTTAGAAATTTCAAAAATGACTTGTTAGAATGTTGTCACAACAACAAACATGCATCTATTTGATACGTATGAAATTGCTGATATAACGATATGTTATAGGTATAAATAGTAATAAATTTAAATTTTTTCTATGTGCGCAGTATAAGAATAGAGTTGTATTTAGTGACAACTTTATTCTTTATCTTCAAGACACTGCTGTTAAGCATCGTCATTTGAAAATTATTTATTTATTAACCCTAAAAATACAACTGAATGCGTGCACATTATAAAATAAATCAGTATATATATTTAGTAATATTTGTTCCGCTTCCTACAATGCGCACTTGATGTTATTGCGTAATTCGAAGTGAGATGTCAGTTTGACAGTTCTATTCTTATAGTGCACACATAGCCATTTTTATTTTAATCATTTTAATGAATTTGGTGACACAACCAGGTCTGTATAATAATTTTCGTAACCTAAGTTTTTGACAATCGCATATTTTGCCCATATATTATTTATTTAGATTTTTAAGGTGAAAACACTCTCAAACTTCGCAATAAAGTTGCAAGTACATTCGCCAAACATTCAGCTCTTAGAGCCAACTGTCCTTCGAGGGTTGAGTTGGAGTCTTGTCCTTGACTCTGGTTTTTCACGCTGTGCTCGTGGATTATTTGTGCCATTTCAGCGCCAGCTAGATCCTTAAAGGCTGCGGTTACATCGTGCACTCGAAGCACTAGGTTCCTTGTTTGTAACGGTGAAGATGTATGCCTACCTAGTGCCTGGAAACGTATAGTATATAGTAGTAAAAACAAAAAAGTATCGTTATTAGAGACATGGCATAATATAAGCCAATAAAACTTTATTGTTTCAGCGATAACATTGTTTTTTAATATTTCTTAGATATAGTAGCAAATAAATTAAAATCCACAGAGAGATAACGATGGTAGAATCCCAAAAATCGCCAAGGAGACCATGGAAAATACCTCTTATTTGAGTTATACGCTATCTACTATCATAATAACATCATACTATCATTGTAATATCATACTATCATTGTAATATCATACTATCATTATAATATCATACTATCATTATAATATACTATCATTATCAATATTACTATCAATTATCACAGTGTTATATTAAAATGAATGTTATATTAATACTATTGGTTAGTGATATTAGTGGTAGTATAATTGTACTAAGCTATGTTTTTTTTCTTTACTTTATTTTTTGCATGTTAGGAAGTAAAAGAGCATTTTTTTCTGCCAACAAACTGCTAAGCAGTTTGGCAAACTGTAAAACTGTAACTGCGTGAATAGGTGCAGCACGGATAGATTGACTAGTCCACTTTCAGAAAATAAAATAGCAGCCGTTTGTTCTGCGTCTGATCTCTGCTTGCCATCTCATGGCTTTATAAGAGCGAGGGAATAGAGACACCTATGTGCACTATACCGCGCCGTTTTACAGTTGTGTGGTGTTTTGGTGTGTTTTGGAGGTGGGGGGTGTGGGGGTGGGGGTGCTCTAAAAAAGATAAAGGCCCGGTTTTCGGCTCCCAAAATTTTTTTTTTTTTTGGCAAAAACAGGTTTTTGGCGGAACCTGTGCCTGCGTTTTTGGGAGAAAAAATTCGCATGTGAAGTTAACCAACACGCATTGGGGCAGCGCGGCGGACACTTCCTTGCCCTAAAACCCTCTCAGAAATGAGGGGAGGCCTGTGCCCAGCAGTGAGACGTATATAGGCTGTAACTTTTACCTGTGCAAGGTCGGCTAGGCGGCGCAATGGCGCCAGGCAATCTGCGAGCGCGGTGGCAGCGCCTCCCGCGCCCGCCGCGCCTCCCGCGCCGCCCAGCGCGCCCACCAGCGCACGCGACGTGCCCACCAGCGACACCGCGCACGACGTCAGCTCGTTGCGCGCGCGCTGCACAACAGACATACCAATACCAACCGTACAGACAAAAATACTTGATATCTTTTAATAGGATAGAAAGAAAGAAGAGAGAAAATGAAGAGAAGATATTCACTGATACTTACTGATATTCATCATCATCATCATCATCATTACAGCCCTTTACAAGTCCACTCATAAACAAAGGCCTCCCCCGAGGAACACCGCAAAGCATGGTCCCGAGCCAACTGATCCATCGACTTCCTGCATATCTTACCAGGTCGTCAATCCATCTAGTGGGAGGCCACCCAGTGGCGTAGCAAAGGGGGCCCGGCGGGGGCGGGCCGCACCGGGTGTCACCTTTTTTGCAGTGACACCCACCCAGTCTCTCAACTTTAATAACAATGTACAAACAAAAAATAAATAAATCGCTAGCACAAAAAGTTCTTTTTCGGGGATTCCTCCACTAGCACCAGCTCAGCTCTATGTATAATTCGGGGATTCCCGCAAAAGAGCCTGACGCTCTCGAAGTCTCTTCAAGATGTAGCTTCATTGTTCGAGATCGTACAAACTAATGTTTTGCTTTTGGCGAATACTGAAGAACTGAAATTAGCTACATCTAAATTTACTGATTTTTATGATGAGGTCTCAGAAACCGAATTACTTTTGGAGATACCAAGACTGCGAAGACACTTAAAAGTCGCTAATGTTACGGTTACTGATTGGGTGTCTCTAGATTTTTTTTAAATTATTGTAGAATGGGATTTTACAGAATCTCTTCCAAATCTTATAATTGCACTGAAATTGTTCATGACGGTTTGCGTGTCCGTAGCTTCATGTGAGAGGAGTTTCAGAAAATTAAAATTAATAAAAAACTATTTGATTGCGACAATGACCCAATCGCGACTGAGCAATCTTGGTATGTTAGCCATCGAACACGAGGCAATAGAAAATATAAATTTTGATGTAGTTATTGCTAAGTTTGCAGCTGTCAAAGTTAGAAAGAAGAAATTTTAATTGTATAACAATTCCTTTTCTGTCTTAGCTATTATTGTGTTTTGTTATTTCTTCAATATTATAAATAATTAATGATCCATGTCCTTTATCATTAAAATTTATTGCTTTTTACTTTCGATAGGGTGACACCACCAACTTCCGCACCGGGTACCAACCAAGGCAGCTACGCCACTGGCCACCCAACACTTCTCTAACTGCTACGAGGTTGCCACTCTAGAACTATTCTTCCATATCGGTTGTCGATTAGCCATCCCATTCAACTTAACAATCCATTGGGTTATTCTCAATTACTCTGGTTGTACTTTGGATATTCTCATTTCTAAGTCTATTACGCAGAGAAATCAGCAGAATAGCCCTCTCCATAGCTCAATGAGTGACCTTGAGCTTCCTTATACGGCCAGTAGACTTCTTTATTCATATTTAGCTTTATTAAAAAAGTATTTTATATTTAGTCTCAGGTTAAATTCAAAATCTTTTTCACAAAAAAGTCATGCGTTAAAAAATTGGCAGCAAATTTCAAATTTTGCGAAGACTCTAGACCCGCTGCTTAGGGACTTCTTTATTTAGAAAGATTATTCCTAAACCATAGTTTAAACCCGAGACTAAAACCCGATAAACCATGTTTTGTGACAATACTAATCCATATCAAGCTTAAACTATTGTTTAAGAATAATCCTATCATAGTAAAAACAGAACAGTAGGATCACTCCCGCGCCGCACGAGACTTAAATGCCTACAACAGTAGGTATTTAAGTTGTCGTCTTTTTGTTTAACAGCTAAGTCTCAATTAGTTTTATAAGCAGTTATAATATTTACAAACTAAATACATACGGATACCTACCTATGTATCATATTTGTTAGTATTTTTTTAGTTTCCTCTCAAAGAATCAATGTTTGTCAAAAAATCCAGCTTTACATTACAACAAATGCCAAATAACTGAAATACGAGTAAATTAACACTGAACATCCTATGGTGTCAGCTCAGTTTTAATGTTTAAAATTAATTTGATCTGATGTGATATGACAATCAACGTTTAATTTAACAGTGGTAGAGCCACGCGGCAGCTTTGCTGTCGCACGTATGGGCCGGCTCAAACCGGGGTGGTACCACGACCTCACAGAATACCGGCGTGAAGTGGAAGCTCTGCTTCCGCGTTTCGTCTGGTGAGTGCAGGTGGCCGGAGGCCCAATTCCCCCCCCCCCCATCAACATGGTTGCGGAATTAAATGATAGACTACCCCAGGAGGGTACCAGCACCCCTGGAGAATCCCTCGCTGAGCATCCACGACCATGTTTCTCCACTTCTGAGCGTGGGTGCTCAGGCTGCCCCGCGTATTCTGGGGGGGGGGGGGCAATATTCCGCTCAAGACTAAAACTGCTCGGGGCAAACGGAGCAACAAGACCAAGGCGACCCCTGCCACGCTGTCCGTGAATTTCTGCAATATCAGGGGACTTCACTCTAACCTAAACGCCGTCCACTACCATCTCGAGACGGCGAGGCCGGCTCTGCTCTTTCTGGCCGAGACGCAGGTGTCCTCTCCGGCTGATGTCTCGTATCTCTCCTGTCCGGGGTACAAACTGGAACACTCCTTTGTGCCTCGGGCTGGAGTTTGCGTTTACGTCAGAGAGGACATCTGTTCTCGACGCCTCGGCAGACTTGAAGGTTCGGACCTGTCCATCCTTTGGCTACGCGTAGACAGCGACGACCATCCGCGCGTCTACGGGTGCCTCTATAGGTCCCATAGCGGTAATGCCGAAACAGACCGACTCTTCGACCACGTCCAAATGGCTGCAGATTCGTTGCTACAGCAGATCCCCTCCGCAGAGATCGTGATCCTCGGCGACTTTAACGCCCATCACGCCGAATGGCTCGGTTCACGTTTAACCGATCATGCGGGGGAGATCTGTTCATGATTTTGCCTTGGCATATGGTCTGACACAACTGGTTACTTCGCCTACGCGGATTCCAGATGTGGAGGATCATGCACCTTCCCTGTTGGACCTTCTACTGACCTCTCACCCGGACGGATATCAGATTTCCGTCGACGCCCCTTTAGGCTCCTCGGACCATTGTCTTGTCCGGAGTGTGGTGCCACTCACGCTGAAATCGCGGTTGCATTCTGCAGGCTGCCGCCGTGTTTGGCACTATAGGTCAGCTGATTGGGATGGGATGCGGTCTTTCTTTGCATCCTACCCTTGGGGGCGGGTTTGCTTCTCGCCGGATGATCCCAACGTTGTTGCGGATTCTGTCGCTGATGTGGTACTTCAGGGTATGGAACTTTTTATTCCTTCCTCTGTGGTGCCCATTGGAGGCAAATCTCAGCCATGGTTTGGTCGCTCCTGTAAAATAGCATCATGCTATAAGCAGGAGTGCTACCGAGCCTGACGCATCAGCGTCCAGGGATGTAAACACCAGTGCTCTAAAATGAAGTATAATTCCGCCTCTAGGTCCTTCAAAAGAGTCATTGCCAAGGCAAAGTCAGAGCACATAGGCAGAATTGGCGAGAGACTAGTTCGTCTTCCTTCTGGAACCCGTGCATTCTGGTCTCTCGCCAAGGCTGTCTAGGGGAATTTCTGTCAGCCATCTCTTCCATCTCTGCACAGGGAGGACGACTCACTGGCCCACACCGCAAAGGAGAAAGCCGATCTTCTAGGCTCTTTCTTTGCGTCTAACTCGACTCTCGATGACGGGGAGAGTACGCCGCCGACCATCCCGCGGTGTGAGTGCTCCATGCCGGAATTGCAGTTCACTCAGCGCTCGGTTCGCAAAGCACTCCTCTCCCTGGACATCCATAAGTCGAGTGGGCCTGATGGAATCCCCCCAATTGTGCTGAGGACGTGTGCTCCAGAGTTGGCACCGGTTTTAACGCGTCTTTTCCGGTACTCCTACTCCCTAGGCGTAGTCCCAAAATCATGGAAGACGGCTTTCGTCCACCCGATCCCTAAAAAAGGCGACCGCTCAGACCCGTCCAACTACCGGCCTATCGCCATCACCTCCTTGTTCTCCAAAACAATGGAGTCCATTGTAAACTGCCAGCTCATGAGGTACCTTGAGGATCACCAGCTGATTAGTGACCGCCAATACGGTTTTCGCCGTGGTAGGTCAGCTGGTGATCTTCTGGTCTACCTAACTCACAGATGGGCGGAGGCAGTAGAGTCCAAGGGGGAGGCATTGGCCGTTAGTTTGGACATTGCGAAGGCCTTCGATCGGGTTTGGCACAAAGCGCTTCTTTCGAAGCTCCCTTCCTATGGGCTTCCCGAGAAATTGTGCGATTGGATCACCAGTTTTCTTGCAGATCGGAGCATCAAGGTCGTTGTAGACGGTGCAAGCTCCGATTGCAAGCTTATTAATGCTGGTGTTCCTCAGGGCTGCGTGCTATCGCCAACGCTGTTTCTTCTGCATATCAATGATATGTTGCAAACCCGTAGCATTCATTGCTATGCGGATGACAGCACTGGTGATGCTCTTTACACCGGCCGAGCCAATATTTCTCGGGAAAACGTCTCTGAGTGCCGGGACAAACTTGTGTCTGAAGTCGAGTCTCTGCTGGACAGAGTCTCGGATTGGGGGCGACTAAATCTAGTCCAGTTTAACCCCCAGAAGACACAAGTTTGCGCGTTAACCGCTAAAAAGAACCCCTTTGTCGTATCCCCTCAGTTTCAAGGCACTCCCCTTGTTGCCTCAGCCAGTATCGGAATCCTCGGCGTCGACATATCGAGTGACGTGCAGTTTCGTGGTCACTTGGAAGGGAAGGCCAAATTGGCCTCTAAAAAGCTTGGCGTGCTCAGCAGAGCGGGACAGTATTTCATGCCGGCACACCGCTTGCAACTTTACAAGGCGCAGGTTCGGCCGCTCATGGAATACTGTTCCCATCTCTGGGCTGGGGCTCCCCAGTACCAGCTCCTTCCACTTGACCGCATCCAGCGCAGAGCGGCTCGAATCGTCGACGACCGAGTGCTTTCCGATCGGCTCGATTCACTGGCGCTGCGAAGAGATGTTGCATCTCTTTGCGTATTTTATCGCATGTATCACGGGAGTGCTCTGAGGAATAGTTCGGATTAATCCCAGCCGCCAAATTTCGTGAACGCACTACACGGCAAACGTCCCGATACCATCCACACCATCTGGATGCTTGGCGGTCCACCACTGTACGTTTCAAAAGGAGTTTTCTTCCGCGTACAACCTCTCTGTGGAATAATTTACCACCGGTGATTTTTCCGGACCGATACGACCTGGGGACCTTCAAGAAAAGAGCTTACTCCTTTCTAAAGGGCCGGCAACGCACCTGCAATTCCCCTGGTGTTGCGGTTGATCATGGGCGGCGGTAGTCACTTAACATCAGGTGAGCCACATGCTCGTTTGCCCCCTCTTCTATAAAAAAAAAAAAAACTTACTTATGAGGTATATATCTATGTAAAGATATAGTAATATAAACTATTAATAAAAAGCCAATTTACTGGGATAGAACATACAGGGTTTTTAGTTAGAGTAAATAGTTTAGTTAAATTAAATTTAATTAAAATTGATGTTACCTGAAATTTAACTTCATCAATGTCTTCACCTCCGCCATGCGAGTGCTGGTGCGAACATTTCTGAGCAACTTGATGTAACCGTTGCAAGAGGCCATCTACTGCTATCTCGGTCTTACATAGAAGATTCTCGATGGAAACATGTCCGTTGTTTCCCGCTTGAAACTCTGGAAATTTTACTGTGGGGGGAGAAGGTGGTGTAGGTATATCATCAACTACGTCCTCTTTGAATCGTACGTGGTTTTGCGTTTTGGGCGTCGGACTTGCAGTGTCCAATCGAAAAGATTTTCTTTCTGAGAGAGGTGGACTAAATATTTTCTGATCACTGCCTGGAGCACCGTTTAATAAGTCAGGCCGATTACTGAACCTTCGATTCATTTGAGGAGAACATAATGACAATGCAGTTGACATTTCTTTGTTCTTCAATATAGTAGTTTTGGTTTCAGAATTCGATCGCACATGGCGATTCTGTAACGTTAGTGAACTGTAACTTGGTGTAGATCTAATACTGGAATCATCGTCTGCCAATCTGCTTTCGTTTTCAAGGTTTCGATACGTGCTCAAATTCCGGTGAAAGTGCGGAGATCCGATACTAGCAAGACGCTGCTCTGTGTTGCGAACCGGAGATTGTTTCTGTGAATTTTTTATTCTTAAAACTTCTATGCTCGGCACTGGAGGTAAGGGAGGTTTTTTAGGGGGTAATAGTAAAGGTGGAGGAGGTGACAATATCTTATTCTCTATTCGTGGTGGTATTTGAGGTGGTTGTTGTGCATTTTTCTCATTTATATCGCAGACTACTTTGTAATTTAACTTCCTATTATTTAGTGTGCTGAAATGATTGCTTGTTATTTCTACAGCACTTAACTCATTGTTTGTACACGTAAAGGAATTGGACCTAGGTCTGGGTGCTGGTGTTGGTGGTGTTTTTGGGGGTCTTTCAGGAGGTTTTTTTGGTTCAATGCTTTTTCTTCGGGGAGGTGGTCTTATTTCACAAACATCAGGCATAGTATCTGAATTTTCTACGTCACCATCTACTTTATCTGTTTCTTCAGAGCTATCATCACTTTTATTTTTATCTTTGCTACAACACGAAAACATACCTTTCCTCTCAACTGTTGGGTATTCTATAATATGCGCGTTGCCATTTGCTTGTTTCTCTCCTGTAACACTTTTTCTTTTTCCTTTCGGGGAATCTGTTTTGGACTGAACTTGAGTTTTATTTTTATCTTTTAACAGAAGACTATTTCTTGCCTCACTTAGTGTTTTCGCTGCAAACATATTTCTTATTTCACTCACACTTAATGTTCCTTTGACCACGTCACCGTTGCTAGCTTTGACATCGTTTGAAATTACTTGCTCAGATTTTTGCTGCGGAAGTTGAGTTTGATTGACATAACTGTTATTATCTCTATCTAATGTTGATGAGTTTGAGGCCGGTGGCGGTGGAATGATGTAAGACATGATTTCTTCGGGCGTAAGCTCGATAGCAGGTGTTACTTTCACTGTGGGTGGTTGAACAGTAACGGTTGCAATAAATTCTTCTAGGTCATCGTCATTGGTTTCAGGCATGTTATCCACTGTACTTTCCTTATCGTCGGCAAACGAAGGGGGTACAACCGGTAAAATTTGAGGCACTTGCGTAGCACAGTCTAATTCATCGGGAGTTTGTGGGGGAGGTATTAAAGTTAAATCTATAAGCTCAGCATCATTATCAACTATACTTTCTTGATAGTAAAATGGAAACTCAGCACTCACTGAGTTTTCTTTACTACTTTTCTCTCGTAATTGTTTTAGATACTCTTTTAAATTAGATTCTTTATTGTCTAGAGTACCATTTGGACTGTGTAAGCCAAAACTTGTTCTAACAACTTTATTAGTCGGTTTGTTTTGATGTTTACGAATTGGACTATTTGTTGGTGTATATAACGATTCATTATCACTTTCAGATTGACAAACGTCGTTATTTAGAGCTAATAAAGCATCTGTGAGGCCACAGTTATTAAGTATAGCACTAAGCCCTTGAGACTGTCTTCTCGTTAAATCACTAGAAGCCTCTTTTTCTGGTTCTGTTACTGTCAAACCATTTAAGCCTTGGTTAATAGTTTCTGTCAATAACAACAATGAGTCACTGTGTTTTAATATACCAGGAGCATCATCCGCTGCTGACATTCTACTTGCAATTGATTCCGTATCACTCTCTAACTGGTCCACACATGTCTCTCTACCTACTAGCTCATCCCTTAGAATGCCATTATTATAACCGTTCTCATTATAAACATCACAATTTTCAGTCAAATATTGTTCAGAGTTTTCTACAAGCTTTTGCATCTCTGCAACTCTTCGTAACACTTCCTCGTTCTTAGCTTCCACTAACTTTGGGTTATTGGCAGCATTTTCCAGAAGTTCCATCGACAGAACACTTTGAAGATCGAAACCCATGCCGTCGTCCAAATAACAAGTCTCATTCGGATCAAATAGTCTGAAGTCTTCGCTTCTTCTGCACTTTTCGAAGTGTACGTCATGTCCTAGCAGACCAGGCTTGGAATCGTATCCTATTAATGGGCTCGAATTATTACTGTGGTAACGATTTGCGATACTGGAGTTCATATTTGTGTCTAAATTAGTTTTCGATTGCTCTCGTGTAGAATGGTACGGTGGTGGCATACTAAATATTGCGAAATGTTTCTTAGAGAATTCTACAGGATCATCATAATGTAGATAGCTCCATTTTGCCGGTACAACGTTGTGTTGTGATAGGTAAGGTGGAGCTGGAACGAAAAAATAATAAATCAATACACAAAGCTTGATAAAACCCGAATTTTTTACAAACTTAAATTGACTGCTGTGGCTATACAGGCATAACCACTTCCAGTGCAAAAGTTAGAGCCATGCTGCAGTTAATTAGTAGTATAGTTGTAGCACGGATGGATAAGCTCGACCGGGGAAGGACCGCTCGCTCTCACAGAATCATCATCATCATCATCATTACAGCCCTTCACAAGTCCACTGCTGAACATAGGCCTCCCCCAAGTAATGCCACAAAGCACGGTCCTGAGCCACCTGCATCCATCGACTTCCTGCATGTCTTACCAGGTCGTCACTCCATCTAGTGGGGGGTCGCCCTACACTACGCCTACCGGTACGAGGCTGCCACTCGAGAACCTTTCTTCCCCAACGGTTATCGGTTCTTCGAGCTATATGGCCGGCCCATTGCCACTTCAGCTTACTAATCCGTTGGGCTATGTCGGTCACTCTGGTTTTACTGCGGATATCCTCATTTCTGAGTCTATCACGCAGAGAAACTCCGAGCATAGCCCTCTCCATAGCTCGCTGAGCGACCTTAAGCGTCCTCATACGGCCAGCAGTGAAGGACCACGTCTCAGATCCGTAAGTCATCACTGGCAACACGCACTGGTTGTACAATCTAGTTTTTAGAGATTGAGGTATACCTGACGAAAAGATATGCCGTAATTTCCCGAACGCTGCCCAGCCGAGTTGAATCCGTCGATTGACCTCTCGGTCGAAGTTGGACTTACCTAGTCGGACTATTTGTCCCAGGTAAACGTATTCGTCAACAACTTCGAGCATAGTGCTCCCAACAACTACCGGCATAGGTGTGACATGGACATTGAACATGATCTTTGTTTTGTCCATGTTCATCTTAAGACCTATCCGTTGGGAGGCACTATTGAGGTCATTGAGCATAGTGCTTAAGTCCTCCAGCGATTCTGCCATAAGGACTATATCGTCGGCAAATCGAAGGTGAGTGATGTACTCGCCATTGATGTCAATACCGTATCCTTTCCAGTCCAGTAGCTTGAAAACGTCTTCCAATGCAGCGGTGAAGAGTTTCGGGGATATAACGTCACCCTGTCTTACACCTCTCTGCAGTTGGATAGGTTTCGAGCTCTGGTTCTGTACTCGGATAGCCATCGTAGCCCTATTGTACAAACACTTCAGCACTTCGATATACCGACAGTCAACTTGGCACCGCTGAAGGGACTGTAGCACCGCCCAAATTTCGACGGAATCAAAGGCTTTCTCATAGTCCACATACGCCAGGCAAAGTGGCAGATTGTACTCTTCAGTCTTCTGTACAATCTGCCGCAGGGTATGTATGTGGTCTATGGTACTGAAGCCTTTTCGGAAACCGGCTTGTTCGGGAGGCTGGAAGTCGTCAAGTCTGCGTGCGAGACGATTCGTAATGACTCTCGAAAACAGCACGTAGACGCGGCTCAGAAGGGAAATCGGTCTGTAGTTCTTTAAGAGAGCGTTGTCGCCTTTCTTAAAGAACAAGACCACCGCACTTCTGCTCCACGCCTCTGGAGTAGTGCCACCATGGAGGACGGAATTGAAGAGCTTCTGAAGGACTTCAAGTACCGGTGTTCCACCCGCTTTCAGAAGCTCCGCTGTAATTCCATCCTCGCCTGGGGCCCTGCCGTTTTTAAGGTGCTGGAGAGCCATTCTAATCTCGCTTAGACTGACGTCCGGGATATCATCGGAATAGTGTCGGATAAGACTTGCTCTTGGATCGTTACTCACACTTGCGTGTGGCTCCAACGATGATGTGTACAGCTGCCCATAGAACCTCTCAATCTCACTCAAAATCTCAGGTGTCCCGGAAACGATGTTGCCACACTCAGTCTTCAGCCTTGACAGTTGGCTCTTTCTGGCAGACAGATCTCTGGCAAAGACTTTGGAGCCCTGGTTCCGCTCGATCGCTTCTTTAATACGAGAAGTATTAAAGTTGCGTAAGTCTCGCCGTATGCATTTGGAGATCTGTCTGTTCAGTTGCCTGTATGCTGTCAAATCTGTTGACGATTGCAGCCTCATCTCCCGTCTAACAGCCATGAGATTAAGAGTGTGATCGGAGAGTTTTTGTGTTCTTCTGCGGCGGGTCTTGCAGAACTTAGCTCCGACCGCATGGACAGTTTCCACGAGCTTGTCGTTCATATCGTCCACTGCATTGCAATCTTCTAGGCACTGGAAGCGATTACGTAACTCGAGCTGAAAGGTTTCGGGATTCTGGATTAGAGCACGAGGGGGACGGAGCGTTGACTTCATTAGACGAGACCTCTCCAACTTAACGTTTAGGTTCAGTGTGCCTCTAACCATTCGGTGATCGCTGCCAGTTTTCACCCTTGCGATCACTGAGACATCACTGAACAGTTGGCGTCTGGTCGTCATAATGAAGTCAATCTCATTTTTTGTCGAACCGTCGGGGCTCGACCAGGTCCACTTCCTGTGGGGCCGCTTCTGGAAGAAAGAGTTCATCATAAAGAGTTCCTCTTTCTCCATAAAGTCGGCCAGCTGCTGGCCCCTTCGGTTCCGTTGCCCTACTCCAAATTTCCCTACCTTCAGCTCACCGCTTTCTCTTGTGCCCAGTTTTGCGTTGAAGTCTCCCATCAACACCGTGTAGTAGGTTTTGGAGGAATGTATGGCTCTGGAAATATCCTCATACATTTCCTCCACCTCCTCATCGGGATGTGCCGAGGTTGGTGCGTAAACCTGAATGACCTTCAGCGAATACCGTTTGGTGATTCTGAGTATCAGGTACGCGACCCTCGTCGACACACTCCCAATCTTTACAACGTTGTTGACGAGAGATTTGTGGACGATAAATCCGACACCTCCTTGGGACAGATGGTCGCCCTCCCGGTGATAGAACAAGTTGCCGGACTCGAGGATTGCCGTGTCCTCCCCCTCTCTTCGGACCTCGGATAATCCAATAATATGCCAGCGCAACTTGTCTACCTCTTCTTCCAGCTCCAGTATCTTCTCGTCAGTCCTCAGGGTGCGTGCGTTATATGTTGCCAGGTCGAGTCGTCGTAGGTGGCAACCGAACCTCCACCGGAGATTCTTAGCACCCCCTGCCCCGCCGTTACCATGGTCGCCACCGTAGCCAGGAATAGCGGGGCCGCCGGGGACTGGGGGCCGTCTGTTTGTGTATTTATTCATTGGGGGGTATTTGCCATAGTGCCACGCTTGGCGAGCGGGTTGGCAACCGCAGTTTTTTATTACGTCACAGTTGTCATCAGGAAGACGCTGCTGCCCATCTCCTGCCTGTCTCCCTCTGTCGCCTCTTACGACACCCACGGGAAGATATGGGGTAGTGGATATTCTTAACCGCCACTACACGGCACTCACAGAATACCAGCGTGAAATAATAGCTTAATGCTGTTGTATTTGGTATGGTCAGTGTAGAGTACCGGAGACTCTTTTTACTGGAAACGAGGTATTTCATCTTAGTCCTCACGGGTGACAACGCATCCGCATTTTGATTTGCAATTGAGAATAGATGAACCACTTACCATCAGGTGGATTGTGTGCTCGTTTGTCACCCTATCTTATAAAAAATAAAAATAAATAAAAAAGGTCTAAACTGCGAAACCATCTACATTTGCGTATGCTACATACAACTAGGTAAATTGAATTTTTTTATTATTAATTGCAAGCTATAAACCACTGTTGAACATAAACCACATAAAATAATAGATTCCCTTATAAAAGGGATATTTACCATAGTTGTCACGCTTGCCTGGCGGAATGGCAACCAAATGTTTTTTTTTAAATTTCTAGTTGTTTTTGGGAAGATGCTGCTGCCTACCTTCCGGTTTATTTTCCTATGTTACCGTTTACGACACACGGCTTGATATGGAGTAGTGGATATTCTTACAGAAACTACACGGTGTAAATTAAATTATAATTTAAAATTGTGCGTATAACATTTTATTATATTTTCATTAGACCAATTTATTTATTAGCTTTTTTATATTAAAAAAAAAACTGTATAATATTTTAACGTTAAAAGATACGAGTTTGAGCAGAGTTATAGGTTCATTTAAGTTTAATGTATTTTCATACTGTCGTCATCATCAGACATAAGGGGTGACAACGCATCTGTAGCCTTCTTTACGTGACCTACGTTGCTAGTGGCCACGGGCTGTAAGAGATACTACATGACGTGGACAGTTGACATGTTTGTTATATTCATCTTATCATCATTATCATTACAATCCGTGATAAATTCACTGCAGCACATAGAACTCCATAAAAACCTGCCGCAACGTACGGTTCTGAATCAGTTACATCGATGAACTCCATAAATTTTACTAAGTCGTCACTTATTAATTTAAAGAAGTCCGCGCTACACTCTGGTCATCGATCTGAGGTTGTCAATCTTTTGCATTGGTTTTCGGTTCTTATAGCTATACGGCCACTTTAGTTTAGTTACCCTTTGGGCTATATTGGGTTCTTTAGTTTTATTGCGAAAATCGGCTGATATCACCGTTATGCATTCTAACATGCAGATAAACTCTGGGCATTCCCTTCCCTATAGAGGAGTTACTACTCCCTTCTAAAAATATACTAACGTGACTTACCTATATCTTCAGTTATAGGTTCTCTCTCTAGTTCTACATTAAGCTCTTTGCCAGTCGCTAGGCGATAATATCTGAAAGAAAGTACAATTACGTAAATATTTATTGAAATTCATCATCGTTAGTAAGCTGACACCGGATAAAGGTGTCTCCAAAGCTTAGCAGAATTTCATGAAACGCTTGGCATACAGAAAAGCGATCATAAATTCTTCACACATTAGATATTTTGGATTAATTGAAGACATAATACCTTACATAACATAGTAATGCACAAGATATCGAGGACGACCAGAAAAGACATGCAGGAAGGCAATGGATACAGGTGACTCGGATCCGGACTTCATGGCTGTCTGTAGCTTGCGTTTAGCCGTGGAATAATGATGGACTATGCTAATGATAATGATGACGAAAGTCACTTACAACAAAATTATATGAATATTTTCGATGTGATGATCCCAGTATCTAAGACACATTTATTTCAATGCACAACCTTTTATTACTATTAGAAACCAGTGCTTGAGTACTATTCCACCTGATGGTAAGTGGTGACTAGCATTACGAAAGCCTATTGATGAAAGACTGGTAGATTATTCCACTCCTTTGCTGTACGTATTAAGAACGCTGAAGCAACCACATTCGAACCAAATGATTCGAGTCGATAATGGGGATGGAAACCAGCCGAGCGTCTGTTCGTTCAATGACGGAATGGAGTAGTGGAATTAAGGCATGCGCACACTCTCCGAAATGTTATATCTTACCGCTCATTTTTGGTTTACGCTCTAAGATAATTTAAAATTTGTCTGCCATATGATAAAGGTATAAAATTATTCATACCATTATTACCTAGGATAAAAGAACACTTTGTTTTATGTTAGAACAGCTGGTTACTAAGTCAAAGATCTTGGATTCCAATCTTAGTCGAAACCAAAATTTTTGCCAAAACATAAGTTGTTAGTTTCTGAGTCGGGTCTACCCATTGCTCCCAAGTTTAAATCTAATCGAATATGAGTAATTTAGAATGAATAATAATATAACTAATAGTTCTACTTTGTTTGTGAGGTACACTTGCGAAATTTTATGTAGTACTGTAATTTAATTATATGGCTGTAGCACTAATAGGCTGGCGCAACCCGTCAAGGATCCATACCGTTTGGATAATTGAACAACTTCTTTGTGGAATCGGTTACCTGCAATTTACCTGGAGTTGCAATTGTTCAATTGTTTAAATGGCGGTAGTCCCTTACCATCAGGTGAGCCGCATGATTGTTTGCCCCCTCTTATATAAAAAAATGATCACAAATAATACCAGCGTAAAATATGATACTAATGCGGCTGCGTTTCATATGGTAACGAGAACCAGTAAGCCTTTTCAGTGACATCAGGTATTTCATTGAAATCCTGAGGCGTGACAGTGCATTTGCATTTTGATTATTCATCGAAGATAGATGTAGTTGGACCATCAAGTAGATTGTGTGCTTGTTTGTCACACTCTCTCTTCTGATACCTGCCTAGACCTAACTGATTTATAGAAGTAGGTTGGGCAGGACCAATAAAATAGCAGTATCAATGCAAGCTTACCCAGCAATAACCAAAGGCATCTCTGTAGCGTCCCGCTCATCCATAAGCAGCGCGAGGACACGATCCCTTTGCAGGAATATTGCTACATCCGCACTTCCAGAATATTCACGTTTCACTCTGATGCCCTCCACTTCTTCCAGAGATGCTATTGATTGAGGCTGATAATGAAATAAATAATATGTGAGTAAATTTAACGTGTAAAATTTCTATAGTACTCGTATTAAAACTTGGAAAGTTAGGGCTGAAATTTATTTTAATAGTTAAAATTTTTATAACTTTTTAAATTTATTTTTAATAAAGCTAGCGATAAGTGTAAATTAGGGAGAGGGGAAGATGGCACCAACGGGTGTTATTTTTTATGACTTCACTGACGTTCATTCATCAATCATAATAGCGGATCAAAAGTCCACTGTGGGACATAGGTTTCCCCCATAAGTAGCCTCATTGGGGGATTATTTGCAATAGTTGCGACACTTGACAGGCGGATTGGTAACCTCAGCTTTTTAATTTTTTTGGGTTTTTATCAGGATGATGCTGGTGCCCACCTCCAGTTTTATTTTCCTCAACGCCTTTTACAACACCCGAGGGATGATTTGAGGTAAATTCTAAAAGCAATTCAAATCAATGTGCCGAGGTTTCGATAATATTACAAACCATTTTTACATTTATATTTAAAAATTGTTTAAGCTTTTGCATAACACATTATTTTTGTTTTTGTTTCCACCAGGTTAAGAATCGTTTGCTATAGATCTGAACTTATTGTTGAAGACCTGAATGTAAAAAAGCACCCGGCTAGAAGTTGATCAGTTTTAAGAACAATTATTAGATCAATTAATTATTTAAGAGACAGGGGAAAACTGAAGCAGGAGATGAGCAGCAACACATCTACGATAACAAATAAAACAATAAAAGTGCAGTTGCCTACACGCCTGAGAAACATAGGAACTACGGCAAATATCCCCTTAATGATTCAATCTATGGATAAGGTCTATATATCAGCAGTAGACTTTTAATAGGCTGTAATTAATGCATGATTTGATCTATAGAATTGACCGCCTTCAACAACAGATTGGATAGAATGTCCGAACATTAAGATGCACACACATCAGCTTTTTAGCTGCCAGTGTGTTTATGTATTATTATTAATAATAATTTATTGCTTATTTTCTTACATTATATTTGACAGAAGGAGGAGATTAACAAAAAATAAAAATGAAACTAGATTATATCCTTGGGGTCTTCGACCAACAATACCAAAAAAAGTTGGTATTGTTGATCGAAGCTTGGGGTAATGTAAATGTAACAGTGTGATATTGAGTACATATAATTAGTTTCAGAATTACCACAGAGTTATTTCTGCCAACGATCTGACTGAGTCCGAAGCGCGGTGACACAAGCAACACGCGTTCAGGGCGACTGCTGCTGAAGCATTTCGCACCGTAGCTTGGAAGGCTTGCGACTATGTCCAAGTAGTGGAGTTTTGCCTGAAAGTTATAATAATTATGAAATACTGATATCTACCAGTAGTAACAGGAGTAATGATATAAACTGGATTAGTATGACGTATGACGATTGCCGAGCCGTGGTAGCTCAGTGGTTAACGTTCGCTGTAAATATAACAGAACGCGAGGAACCCGGGTTCGATCCCCGCCGGCACCAATGAAATTGTTAATTGCAATTTTAAGTGCTGATTTACCACGTGCTCGGCGGTGAGGGAAAACATCGTGAGGAAACCTGCAGGTCTGAGGAATAAGAAAAAAAAATATTTCGAAGACATGTGAAGTTCGTCAACACGCATTTGGGCAGCGCGGCGGACACTTCCTTGCCCTAAACCCTCTCAGAAATGAGGGGAGGCCTGAGCCCAGCAGTGGGACGTATATAGGCTGCAACTTTACTTTACTTTACTTTATGACGATTAGATGTAACGTTAAAATCGGTGTTCTTTGACGGTTATTTACATTCTGTGTACTAAATTACAATGAAATTGTTGCTGTGCCTAACGAGGTCTAATAATTGTGTAACTTAAATTTAATCAAAAAGAGCTGATGATTTTGAAACGGTTGATTTTCTCGTATAAAACACCTTTCAAACGAAAACAGCTTAAGTAAAAGCGGTTCATCCATTCAGGAGCTATGATGCCACAGACAGACACACATATACGTATCACAGATACAAACTACAAATTTATAACACCCCTCTAATTCGTCAGGAGTTAATTATGTTTTACGTAATCTAGTTATTGAAAGCAATAGTTTTTAGGATTTAGATTTTTATTCGATTATTTACACCATTGGATTCCCACACTCGAGATAGAAAAAGTATATTCTATCTTTGTTATTCTTTTAAGCTATTGCATAGCTTCTATCACGGGCCTTGAGCGCGGGGACCGAATCCAGAAATTCCGTAACGAAAAAAAACCTCACGCTCCCCACTCCGACGGGCACGGAGGTGTGGCGTTGAAAGCCGTGCATCGTCTAACGTCGTTTCAGTTCGGCAGACTTCGGCACTCGGCAGAGTTCGGCACGGTGTTTGTGTGCGTGCGACTAGACGTATGCGTGTACACTAGCTGCTAACTGAATGATAAAAATTCTTGAATAACCTACATGTATTGTAAGATATTAAAAATATTTTAAACAATATTAACTTCTCATTTATTCAATAAGAGAAAAAAATTGTTTTCTTATCGGTCACCACTCTCAAAAAGCGTAACTTGATTTAATATCAAAGACTTAACTGCATTTTTATTATAATTGCATAAGTTGATAAAAAATGCTATGCAATAGCTTTACCGCGGCAGTCACCGAGTGCCACACGTATTTTTTTTTCATTTTCTCCTTTGTTAACTTTTTATTTTTTTTTATTCTAAATAGTAGCTTCTGCTGCTTGTAATGATGGGCTAACTTAAAATTATTATTTTTATTTTACGAAATTAAGAGAGCATTGTTTTCTATGGGATCGGTGATATAAATAATGCCACCAATAAAATTACACTTTACAGAGCATCCTCTAACCATCGGCTGTTCTGTGTGCTCCGTTTTACCCTTTACGCCTAAAGTGGAATGCCTCGTATCAAATAAAAAGGATCTCCGGTTCTCTACACTCACCATACGACATACAACAGCATTCAGCTGCTATTTTACGCTGGTATTCTGTGAGAGCGTGGTTCTTCCCCGGCCACGCCGTATCCATTGTCTTTTGAAATTAAATGAAATAAGTCTATTATGCGTGCGTGCTTGTGTGTGCGCGTACGTGTGTGAGTGTGCTTATTTGTGTGTGTGTATGTGTGTATTTGTGTATGTGTTATTATTGGGTTTTACGTTATCCATCTAGACATAAATGCCAGGTGCCGTTAAAAATAACAATGAGCTATTTTTACGACATACCTGCAGTTGTGTGAGCTGACGCTGGCTCCCGGTCATTTGTGCGTTGAGCTTGAGGAAGTGAGCTATAATTCGCCGCAGTTCTTTCCGCTTCATGCTTTCTAGGAGGCCGCTCGGTACAAAGCGTTCTAGACCAAACTCTCGCCTATAACAAAATACATTATCGTTAAGGGAATTATTGTGAAAGGGTTATAAGTTATATCAATTAAAAATTACAGTTTTTGTTACGTTTAAGGAACGCATTTGTGCGATTGTTTGTTTCGACTAATGGATATAAATATTTTTTTTAAGTACCAAGGTGAAGTTAAAATTAATCACCATGATAAATATACACGTGAAAAGTGGGTCAAGTCTAGTATAAACAATGTTTGGGATTGACCGTGACCTCATAGTACTTTTTGTGAACACCACCTGTATTCATACGTAAATGGGTATCAATAAATAATCATTAAAGGACCGACCGACTGTGAAAAGTACGAGCCGATTAATTTACCCGTCAACCGGTCAAAGTCTATACGCAACTTCAATTGTAGAAATAAAAAAAATATTTCTTTTATTGAAAGGCATAAAAATATCAATGAACAAGTACTCACTCTACAGCCTTAACAGTGAGTTTGGTTGGTGAAAGATTATTGGCTAGGGCATGCTGGTGCATATGCAGGGCAGCCAATCGAAGCGCCACTTCCGGCTGGAGTTCAGGCGCGAAGCGCTCCTGCGCTACGTCGTTGCAGCACTGCAGGTACAAGTAGTCTAGCGCCGCTAAGTCCCGCTGGGCCAACTCTGCAGCGGAATTCGGTACAAACACCACGCGGTACAGGCATCGCATTTTATGCGAGCCTGGTTTCGCTGCGATCTGTAAATGTAAAACTGAGATAAATTATTAGCAAACTAGGTCCTCTCCCTCTCTGTTTAGAAGGCAGTCTGGGTAGGTACCGCTCCCCTGCCCGTTTCTATCGCCTAGCAGCAGTGTACTGCTGAATTCTGGTATGTAGGGTAGGTATAGACAGCCAGCTGTGTGTTCCATCATAGTCTTTAGTTGTAATGCATTTGTAGAATTCTTTTTAAAAGTTGTTTGCAGCAGTCTGAGTTGCGATAGTCATTCACAATCAGATGGACAATTAGTTTGATGCTTTTTTATATAGAATAAGGGTGTCAAACGAGCACACAGTCCACCTGATGGTAAGTAAATGCTGTGGTCCATAGACATCTACATTTATCCTCGATTAAGAGTCAAAACGCAGGTGCGTTGTCACCCCTGAGGACTAAGACAGAATGCCTCGTTTCCAACAAAAAAGGTCTCCGGATCTCTACACTCACCACATGAAACACAGCAGTATTAAGCTGCTATTTTAAGCTGGTATTCTGTGAGAATGCGGTCCTTCCCCGGACGAGCCGACCCATTTGTGCTACAACGATAATAAAGCTGCAGCGTGTCTCTCCCACGTATAAAACTTCTATTCAACATTAAAAAAACGAGATGAATCATAAAAAATCATTTTTGTAATGATTTATGGGAGTGTAATTTCATAGTAAAAGTGGAATTTTATAAATTCTAATGCAAACTTCACCTGACTACGTTGCATCTGCTTTTTGATGGGTAACGGGGCTCGACTCTTTTACAAAGCAGATGCAACGTAGGTATATTTCGGTAGAAACACGAACGGGTCGACTTGGACAGCGAATGAACAAGTTCTAACAGAGCACTGACATAAAATAGCACCATACAACTGCTGTGTTTCGTAGGGTGAGTGTCAAGTTGGTAATTAAGGGTGATAACGAATTTGTTTTTTTTTATAATATAGGGTGACAAACGAGCACACAGTCCGCCTGATGTTAAATGGTTACTGTGGCCCATAGACAGCTACATCTATCCTCGATTACGAATCAAAATGCAGATGCGTTGTCACACGTGAGGACTAAGATGTAATGCCTCGATTCCAGTAAAAGGGTCTCCGGTACTCTACACTCACCATACAAAACAGAGCAGCATCATTAAGCGACTATTTTACGCTGGTATTCTGTGAGAGCGCGGTCCTCCCCGGACGAGCCGACCCATTCGTGCTACAACTATACTTCTGCCTCGTTGGTCTAGTGGTTGTAGTAGTGCGACTGCTGATCATGAGGTCCTGGGTTTAAATCCCGGGTCGGGCCGAAAAACTCAATAATTGATTTTTTATTTATTGTCAAGAAATTCTCAGTAGCTGCCCGGAGTCAGGAAGTTGGCGGTGTCTCACTCCCGTGCCTCGGAAAGCACGTAAAGCCGTTGGTCCTGCGCCTGATCTCTCTCCCGGTCGTGTCGGTTTACCGTCCCATCGGATTACGAGAGTGAGGGAATAGAGAGTGCACCTGTGCTTCATTTTAAAACGAGGATAGATATTGATCTGTGAGTCACAACATTCACTTACTATGTACTCGCTTCCCACCTAAACACATAAGATGAATACTAACGAATGGGACTCTGGCTATCTACAAATAGTTGAATATCTGTTTCATAATCATCATGAACGTCATTAATCTACGGAAGTCTAATGATGGACACAGGCCTTCTTTTAGGCGCACCATTTCGTAATACGAACACTTGATCCTATACACTTATGACGGGAGCAACGTTACCTGTGCGAGGATATCGGGTTTGTTTCCTTATCTTCGTGGTGAGTATTGGCATATCCTTTTACTTATATAGTCTACAGTTGGATTTTTATTGGAGAAGGAAATTTGAGAGATTTGTACAGAAAATATTTCCTTGGAAGTGTACCTCATTCCCCTTTTCCTGTATCTACTGACAGATTTAAGTTTAAATTGAAGAACTGTTTAAATTTAAATCTGTCATTGTCTAAAGTGTAGTCTTGGATTATAGACATGACTATATTAATGTCTTCATACCGAATTTCGACTGAGAGTAGACGTCGTGACCGATTTAAGTTCAGGAGAACATTATAATTTAATAAAATAACATACCCTAGCTAAAGACTCCTTGGGATCCAAAAGAGTCAGCTTATTTCTTCTGATGCTCTTGACGTGTTCCACCACCAGGCTGAAGTGCTCATCAGCAGTAATGCAAAGCTTGTCCTTGAGGCTGCTCACGACATCCGCAACACTGGTCGTGGCATCGTATTTAAACGACTTTGTTTGACCGTTCTCCAGGAAGACTTTGAGGACGTTCGCCATTGGTGGGAGACAGAGATCGCCCAGAGAAAAGGCCGAAGGCTGGAAATGTATAAAGTTTTGTTATTGATAAATGTTAACTACTAAAATGTCCCTGTGATGCTGTAAAACACAGGATATGATATAACACTTTGCTAAACACTTAAGTAAATAGTTTTTTTAGATTAAAGCACCACATCTTAAAAGATTTTTCTCGATTTTAAATACCAATAACTTATTTAAAAAGTTAATGTTATTTCTTTAATTAATTTGATTTTACCGATTATTTAAAATATAACCATTAACAAAAATACCATCTAAATTGCTTGCAAATATGAACAATGTGTAATTGCTATAGACTTCCTTTCAATAACGATATGATGTAATTGTACATCCACTTTTCTTATTACCCACAACAAGTAAGAACATTGTGCGTATCCATTACTTAATAAATCATTTACATGTACCTGCCATTCTTCATAAGTCCATATATTTAATATCTAATGATTAACTCGTTATTTCTCATGATAAGTGAATTGTATTCTTTTTGAGAAATTAATGTCTTAAACCGTAAACCGTAAATATTTTTCGTTGTAGAGCCATCCTGCAACTATATTATGGTTGCAGCACAAATGTTCGGATCTTATTAGCAGCATAAAATAGCAGCTTAATGCTACTGTGCTTCGTATGGTGAGTGTTAAGAACCGGAGACCCTTTTTACTGGAAACGAGGCATTTCATCTTAGTTATCAAGGGTGGCAACGCATCAGCATACAGATTCTTAATCAAGGATAGATATAAATGTCTATGAGCCACAGTATCCACTAACCATCAGGTGGTTTTTGTTCTTGTTTGTCAGCCTTATTCTATAAAAAAAAGATACAACACAGTTAAGAAGACATTCAAGTCTCGTTTAGTCTAGTCTATACAAACGTATTCCTCTGAAATTACAAAAATTGCCCAGTTATAAAGGCAAATGTGAAAAGAATGGAATATAATCATTTTCATTTAATAGAGATTACGAGAATACTAATTGCAAGTCATTTAAAATTTGTCCCTGGTTCGGAAAAAACACTGTTTTTTTTTAAAGAAGAGGAGGCAAACGAGCATGCGGCTCACTTGAAGGTAAGTAACTACAGCCGCCCATAAATAACCGCAATACCAAGGGAATTGCAAGTGCGTTGCCGGTCTTTTAGAAAAGAGTAAGCTCTTTTCTTGAAGGAGCCCAAGTCGTATCAGTCCGAAAAAATCACCGGTGGTAAACAATTCCACAGAGAAGTTGTACGAGGAAGAAAATTCCTAGTAAAACACACAGTGGTGAACCGCCAATCACCCTGATGGTGAGGATGGTATCGTGTATTTTCACGCGATATGCGTTCCTGAAATTTGGCGGCTGGAATTGATCCGAACAATTCCTCAGTGCACTCCCCGTGGTAGATGCGATAGGAAATGCAAAGGGACGCAATATCTCTACGCTGCGCCAGTGAATCAAGCCGACCAGAAAGAACTCGGTCGTCGACGATTCGAACCGCTCTGCGCTGGATGTGATTAAGTGGAAGGAGCTGGCACTGTGGTGCCCCAACCCAGAGATATGAACAGTATTCCATATGAGGCCGAACTTGCGCTTTATAAAGATGCAAGCTAGAGGAGAGGAGTCCTTTGCGAAACGAACGCTTTTATTTAGTAAGAATCAACCGATCTAGATGAGCGATACTACGTTCGAGAGTATTCGTTGTTTATTCGACCTGATTAGATTTTGAAGTCAATCAATCGAGCCGTTTTAAAGATATACAAAAAATAAAAACCATAAATATGTTTTCAACTTTTTTCGAAATAACTTTCAAAATACAACTTAAATATTCAACCCGCGACATTAAAGACACTTATTTGTACTAAAAAAACTGCGTTGAATGCCGCCAAGTAAGTCAAAATGGAACGAGGCGTTCAAAAATTATAGCCATTTAAAATTATCTAAATAATCGTCTTCGTGATAATATAACCAATTGGAAGATTTTTCGAGCGCTCAAGATTGAAAAAGCGAGAAGGTCCTGGGTTGGCCTACCGGTCAACCGCTTTTCAGATTTTTTCTTATATTTTTTTTATAGGATAGGGTGACAAACGAGCACATAGTCCATGATGGTAAGTGGTTGCTGTGGCTCATAGACATCTACATCTATCCTCGATTACGAAATTCAAAATGCAGATGCGTTGTCACCCGTGAGGACTAAGATGAATGCCTCGTTTCCAGTAAAAAGGGTCTCCGGTTCTCTACACTCACCATACGAAACACAGCAGCATTAAGCTACTATTTGACATTGGTATTCTGTGAGAGCATGGACCTTCCCCGGTCGAGCCGACCCATTCGTGCTACAACTTATACTACTAATATATATACTTATACTACTAATCTAACTGCAGCATGGCTCTACCAGGTTAAAAAAAAAGAAAAAAATCTCAGACATGCAGGTTTCCTCACGATGTGTGTGGTTTTCCTTCACTGTCAAGCATGTAGTAAATAATATAAAATTGCAATTAACAATTTCATTGGCGCTAGAAGAGATCGAACCCATTTAGCTCGCATACTGTGAAATTCACTGCGAGCGCTTAGCCGCTAAGCTACCACAGCTCTTATAAACATATTTTTTTTAGTTATTATTAATTTAATAATGACTTACAGGGTACATAGGTGCTCCATTTAGCTGCACTGAGTCGGCGAATCGCACCCTCGGGGGTTTCGCACGTAACCGGGCGCGTTTGGCAGCGGATAATAGGGCGGACCTCCTGGCATGATTCCCGGTCCTTGCGGGCTGGCAGACCCTTAGTGTGACTTTTTCAGTACAGGCTCGTACTGCTGATATAACGTGTTCCCTTGCAGCATGGCTGACATCTTCACCATTGACGCAAAGTATTTGATCGCCAGGTTCTAGCTGAAATGGTTTATAAGGAGATTATAAAAGCTTTTCGTATTTATATTTTATCAATGAATAAAACATTAATATTATTGAAATTAGTTAAAATTGTTGTTATAACAAAATAAAATAAATCCAAAAATATATAAATAAGTTATTACTATATATTGGAAATATATTATTAAAATATTTGTGTTAGAAACGAAAAATTTTCAAAATTTCAAAAGAGTTATAATACTAATTGATTATCATGATAATGAGGTTCCAGATTCGTAGCCCGGGTCGGAGCAAAAACCTGATACTTGTAGTGACAATGAAACAATGGAGTTCAGATGACAACTGTTTTTAATAATTAAGGCGGTTCTTAACATAAAATATTTTAAGACTACTCACAACAATACTGAGCTTTCCGTTATGAAATTCTCAGTAGCAGCCTGAAATTAGGAAGTAGACCGTGTTTCACCCCTTGCCTGGTCTCTTTTCGGTGGTCTCGGATTGTCGTTTTATCGGATTATTAGAGCAAGGGAATAACGAGCTTACGCACCCACTAATCGCATACTTATGTACTAAGCTAGAAAAAAACTTTATGAAATATATGCAGTAAAATATTATTAAATAAATAGATAAACCTCAACCAGACGTCCCTCGCCAGGGGAGGCCAAAAGGGTTAGGGAAAAGCGAAAGAAATCAGGAGACGATTCAGGCGATATTGAAGAGCACCGCTTTCTACATTTGAGCCAGTTGCCTCAGATGACCCGAAAGGTTGACTGAGATTAATTCGAAGAAACGACTATAGGATAATTTCAAACGATATATTACTTTATATATCGGGTACCTTGTAAGCCAGGTCAAGATGTTTAGTTTGCTTAGCTGTTTACGCTCTCTCGAGGTTTTCGTTCTAATATCGACCAAAAATATCCTTGATTGTGCCTGGTCCATCAGCACAATATCGGGCTTATTCACGAGAATAGTCCTATCTGTGATGATGACCCGGTCCCAGTAGAGCTAGGCACTGTCGTTTTTGAGCAGCGATTCCGGCGAGTATTTACAATAAGGCAGTTTTCGATTCACGAGAACCGGAGAAGACTTCATTAAGCGACTCATCGGAATGGCGACAAGGAAGACAAGTGTCAACCGTGCCATCTCTAAGGATGTATCTCCGATAACTGTGATCCTAATAGCCTGATGCTGTGTCGTACAGGCGATGCCGGCCATGGGTAGAACGACCCCCTACTAGATGGACATGCAGGAAATCGATGTACGCAGGTAGCTTAGGACTGTACTTTGTAGAACATAGGCTTCCCCCAAGTTATTACTTCACATTCAGCAGTAGAATTTTGTAGGGCTGTAATTATGATGATGATGATGAATGTGATGAATACTTAAAGGCCTTATTTATAATGACATTTCATACTAAGGTTACCTTCCCAACACTGGGCGAGTTGTCAGTGACGAATCTGACGAGTACTGGTTTTTCGGAGCCGGCCACAAATCCAAAGCCAAGCTCTGGATCCCTCTCGAGCACCACGTCACGGGGCGCGGGGGGAGATTCGCAGGAGCAGCCCTCAGGAGCCACGTACGTAGTAGTTTTGTTAATGTGACTGAAAATATAAGTAGGTATAATAAATAATAAGACAAATGCTGTATCAAAAGAATTATTATTAAGAAACTATTTTTAACTCCCGACTTTGTTTGCATAGAACTTAAACAAAATCTAAAGATTTATACCAGTGGGCTTTGGCAAGTGGTTCAGTTATTACATACAGCCTATATAAGTGCACTGCTGAACATAGCCCTCCTCTGTAGAGTGCATTTTGCAATTTATTGGGATATTTTTATTACTTTGAGTATTAAAAATACATATATAAAACGAGCACGCAGTCCACCTGATGGTAAGTGAATCCTGTGGACCATAGACATCTTCATTTATTCTCGATTACTATCGATTCTTAATAATAATATATATAATATTATTATTAAGAATGAAAACGCAGATACGTTGTCACCCCTGAGGACTAAGATAGAATGCCTCGTTTCCAGTAAAAAAAGGGTCTCCGGATCTCTACACTCACCTACCCTAAGAAACACAACAGTATTAGGCTACTATTTTACGCTGGTACTATGTGAGAGCGTGGTCGTACTCCGGTCGAGCCGACCCATTCGTGCTACAACCATAATATAGCTGCAGCGTGGCTTTACCAGGTATAACGATGCTGCTGCCTATCCCCTGTTTCAGAAGCCCTATGTCGCCTCTTACGACACCCACGGGATGATATAGGTTCGCGAATATTTTTACACCGCCACTCCACGGTATTTTTTAATTATTGTTTACATTTATCAATAATTGCAACGAAACTAAGATGTTAAAATTAATTAGCTAATATTCACATGGAAAATAAAAATTTTGTGACATTTTTCGTATAAAGTGCACCAATATATACGTGTTAGAGTAGCTATATTATAGTTGTAGCCCGAATGGGTTGGCTCGACCGGGGAAGGACCACGCGCTAGGAATACCAACGTAAAATAACAGCTTAATACTGCTGTGTTTCGTATGGTGAGTGTAGAGATCCGGAGACCCTATTTTACTGGAAATGAGGCATTCCATCTTAGTCCTCAGGGGTGAAACGCATCTGCGTTCTTAATCGAGGATAAGTGTAGATATCTATGGGCCACAACCTTAGGCCACAGCATCCACTCACCATCAGGTGAACTGTGTGCTGGTTTGTGACCCTTATTCTATAAAAAAACCTCCCATACTAAACGCGTGTAATATCACCGTTATCGTCATCCCAATATCATTACTCTAGTACAATTGCACTAGCATAACATGCCACTGTCGAATATACGACACGTTTTTCGCCTATAAATGCGGCATCAACAAACGAAATAGACTGTGATGGCTGAACGAGCGCTTAGCACATTTGAGGAAAGGAGAGAGATGATCTACAAAGTAGGTATCATTTTCATTATTCACATGGATCTTAATTAATTAATTTTACATTTATATTATTGAGCCACAGTAGCTCAGATGGTTAGCGCTGGCTGTAAATTTCACAGCACGCGAGCAACCCGGGTTTGATCCCCGCTGGCACCAATAAAATTTTAAGTATTGATTTACCACGTGCTCGGCGGTGAAGGAAAATATCGTGAGGAAATCTGCATGTTTGAGAAATAAGAAAAAAATATTTCGAAGACATGTGACGTTCGCTAATACGCATTGGGGCACCGCGGTGGACATGTCCTTGCCCTAAAACCCTCTCAGAAATGAGAGAAAACCTGTGCCCGGCCAGCAGTGGGACGTATATAGGCTTAACTTTAAATTTATATTATTATGAAATTTCGAAATATTGAGGCTGCTATTGGATCGACTAATATATATTAATATATAATAATAGCAATTCTTACACCAATATTGTCATGCTGGGTATGAAATTTTTTCAAGTAAAAGTTGATAACACATAAGAAAAACGGAAATTATTTATATGTTAAGAGATGTATGTAGTACTGCCCTATTTTGCATAAAAATAAGTTTTAATTTGAGAATAATAATAATATTAATTATATCTCATATTTCATCACTCCATGTGTTGACTGCTAGAGATATGTCTACAGGCATTAAGTCCTATTTCCTATGAGAAGAATGCAATAAATATTTCATTTATTACGTCCTATGAAAAATCCACCACTGAAAATAGACCTCTCATAATATATTGCCTCATATTAAACTATGAAGGATATCTCAATATCCTTTATATTTTCTGTAGTTAGCTGGCGTGTTGACGAACACAGTTTTTTTTATTTCGAGTTTGTTTTTATTGTCATGTTGGTGCTGCTGTTCATTTCTCGTTTCTTTTCCCTCTATTGTCTCTTACGACACCAACGGGTTGATATGGAGTAGCTTGAGTCTCTTTCGCCGTCATTAAAAGGCCTAATAAGGATATATATATATATATATATATATATATTTTTTTTATATTAATATATATATATATAATCCTTTTTTTTTTTTTTTTTATATATATATATATATATATATATATATATATATATATATATATATATTAAGAAGAAGGGGGCAAACGAGCATATTTTGCTAACATTGCCCACGTTGTTTTTTTATGCAAATACAGTTCGTAGTAGACTTGCAATGAGCATCACTACTTAGATGTGAGAAATCTTGGCGTTGGTTTCAAAACTTTATTAGTAGTGTTAAAACTTTTACAGAAAAATGAGTGGGCAATGTTAACTAGCTATTGATGATGGTAAGTAACTTCCGCCGTACATGAACAACTGCCACACCAGCGGTATTGTAAATGCGTTTCCAGCCTTTTAAAGTAAATAAATAAATAAATAATTAAATACTTGATATAATACGGCTTGCCCCTGCTGTCCGATGCCTGCTCCCACCCATACGGAAGTTCTTCATCATCCTCCTGACCACTGCTATTTCTGATGCTCGGCCAACTCTCAACTGGTGGCAGCCAACTGGCCGTTCGCGTGATGTGACTGAAAACAAAATAAAAAATAATTTAAACCACATATAAGTTCTTAACTTTTTTGATATAAAATAACTTCTTATTTTTACACGTGGTAGAGCCATATTACAGTTGTAGCTTGACAGGGGAAGGACCACCCTTTCCCAGCACATCAGCGTGAAATAGCAGCTTAATGGTGTATTATTTCGTATGGTAAGTGAAGAGAACCGGAGACTCTTTTAACTAGAAACGAGGCATTCCATCTTAGTCCTCAGGGTGACAATACATCTGCATTTTGATTTTAAACTAAAACAGACAGATGTCTATGCGTCACAGTATCTATTTACCATAAGATGGACTGTGTGTACCTTTGTCACCCTTCACTTCACCTCAAGAAATAAAAAAATCAATAATCAGGTCTCAACTAGCAATCTTTTATCGGTAAGTGAAGTCTCTAAAGAACCCGCTATCTATAGAATTACGACCGAGGAAGACACGCAGGAAGTGGGTGCAATGGTTGAAGGTGGCTCGGAACTGTTGTAATATTATTTAGGGGAGGGCTATGTTTAACAGTGGATTTATAAAGCGCTGTAAAGATTATATTGATTAATGAATCAAGAGAGCTTCTGCATTGATCTAGTAAATATAAAATGTACTGTAGCTCATACCACAGAATATATTTGCTGCTTGTTGTCTTATTTTTAAGGTTCCGTACCCAAAGGGTAACTAATGGGACCTTATTACTAAGCCTCCGCCGTCCGTCCGCTTGTCCGTCTGTCTGTCAGCGGGCTGTATCTCATGATCCTTAATAGGTAGACAATTAAAATTTTCACAGAATGTGTATTTCTGTATAATTAAAGGGGGTTAACCTACTAGAAACGTGTTTTAAAAATGGTATGCCTTCATGCGCGATTCCGACTCGCACTTGGTCGATTTTTTTTATTTCTCTAGTAGTTACCAATATGATACCCGCGCAATTATGACAAATCTATTCTAATATAATTGGAGAAAATTCGTTGCCTTGTTGCTAGATACAAATATATCCTTTTTTTAGTTATTATAAGCCAGTACTTGACCATAACCCCACCTGGTGGTGGTGATGGAGCCCAAGATGGTAAATCATACTGTCTTAGCGCAAAAAGCCTATTCGCTCTTACCTTGAAGACGCCCAGATTATTTTTTATAGATTCGATGGAAAGACAGACGCCGGAAAATTATTTCTCTCCTTTGCTGTACGCATTACAAAAGATGAAGCAAACCGTTTGGTTGGGAAGAAGTCTGGTTTATCCGAGAGGCGAAAGGAGAGGGAGGAATTAATTAAAGCAAAACACCATTTGGGCTCCGCCATAGTAACTATTAGTTAGTCTGTGGTCACAGTCGAAAGATAGGTGCTGTCTACCCAAAATAAGCTTACTATCTTATCCTAAGAGGATTGCTACGTAGAGAAGAGCGCTACCACACCAAGAGTTGGCGACCTATACTTCGTCTCGATATACGTAGTAGAGCTATGCTGCAGCTTTATTATGGTTGTAACGAATGTCAGCGTAAAATAGCAGTTTAATGCTGCTGTGTTTCGTATGGTGAGTGTAGAGATCCGGAGACCCTTTCTTACTGGAACCGAAGTATACCATCCTAGTCCTCAGGGGTGACAACGCACTGCATTTTGATTCTTAATCGAGGATGGATGTAGATGTCTACGGGCCACAGCAACCCCTTACCATCAGGTGGACTGTGTGCTCGTTTGTTACCTTTATTCTATAAAATGGTAGCTTCACGCTGGTATTCTGAGAGAACGTGGTCCCTCCCTGATTAAACCGACCCATTTGTGCTTAATTTGGCTCTACTACGTACATTTCGACCTTTCAGGTCCCTAGAATAACTAAATAAAAACTTTACTAGTCGGCCTAGGCTTTTCCAGCACTAAGTATCGATGTTGGATTTAAAGTTAGTTAAATTTACAGCCTATATACGTCCCACTGCTGGGCACAGGCCTGCTCTATAATCTGAGAGAGTTTTAGGGCAAGGAAATGTCCGCCACGCTCCCACAATGCGTGTTAGCAAATTTGACATGTCTTTGAAATATTTTTTTTCTTATTTCTCAGATATGGAGGTCTACTCAGGATGTTTTATTTCACCGCCGAGCACGTGGTGAGTAAGCACTTAAAATTGCAACTAACAATTTCATTGCTGCCAGAGGGTATCGAATCCGGGTTGCTCGAGTACTGTGAAATTTACAGCGAGCGCTAATCATCTGAGCTACCACGGCTCTTTGGATTATTAGTAATTAAAATCTAAGTTGAGCGTCCATACCTTGTTTTAACTTATTTTAAGTTATTGATTCTTTTAGGAATTCCTAAGAGAATTACAAAATTGACGAATAATGTAAAGAGTAATTTTTTTACGAGAATATAGACAATTTTTAAAATAAAGTAAGGGTGACAAACGAGCACACATTCATGTTATTATTCTAAACATTCCCAACTCTGTATACAATCGTCTAACAGCATCGTTATCATGTAAAACAGCAGCTGACATAACAAGACATAACGCAGCCCTCAGAGGGGGCTCACTCAACGTGACGCGAGTAATAAATACCCTCCCTTCCTGGGAAGGCACATATTTTTTTAGGCATGTTTTATTTCTAAGCCGCTTTTATAGCGTTTATATTGCCTAGCTTTTAAGGTTCCGGTTTCAAATTTCTTCTACGTATTAACCTAGAATCAAGGACAATTTTTTGAAATAGTATTACCCATACACTAGGATGTTGCCCCGTTTCGTGGAGGCAGTTTACATATATAAATTACATAAGAACAAACATCCAGACCCGAAACAATTATTTCTACTTGTTCCGTGCAGGATTCGAATCCGCGATCCACAGCGCCGAAACTCATTCCTAAGCCACTGCGTCACGGAGCTGTCAAAATTAGATATGTTTTGAAACTTACAGTTTGATTCTATACAGAAATGTAAATTGATATGTTGAAAGTAACTCTTGCAACATTCATCCATCCATCCATAACGGCCTATAAAAGCCTACAGCTGAATATAGGCCTCTATTAAAACTTTGAACTTTAAAAAAAATTGGCCTCTTCCATAGATTGTTCATACCCGAGTCCGACTCGCACTTAGCCGATTTTATTTCTCTGGTAGGTACCAATATGTTACCTGCGCAATTATGAAAAATCTATTCTAATATAATTTATAAAAATCGTTGCGTTGTTTTTTTACTTGTTTTAGGGGGGGGGGGGGGAGTTGCCACGCTTGTCAGGTGGCTTGGCAACCGCAGTTTCATATTATCCCACAGACATCTACATATCCTCGATTACAAAACACAATGGAGATGCGATGTCACCCGTGAGGACTAAGATGGAATGCCTCACCATACGAAATACAGCAGCATTAAGCTACTATTTTACGCTGGTATTCTGTGAGAGCCTCGATGGTCCTTCCCCGGTCGAACCGACCCTTTCGTGATACAACTATACCACTAATATAGCTGCAGCATGGCTCTAGCACGTATAATGCTGATGCCCTTCTCCTCTTTCTATGTGTCACCTCTTAACGACACTTACGGAACGATATGGGGTAGGTCGAAATTCGAAACGGCTCTACACAGTACAACATGTGTTCCAACATATCAATTTATATATTTATTTTTGAGTCCTAAGGTCAAAGTAATAAAAGTAAGTAAGTAAAATTTAAATGACTTTCAATAAAGTATTCTTGTAAATATTGAATAAAAATGATTCTATTTTATTCTATTCTAAGAGCATTTGATGTGACGAGCGATGTGGTGATGCATTCGGAATACTTATGAGCGGTCTACTGCGAAGGTGCGAACAACAACACATCCTCTGTTCAGGTACAACGAACACCCAACTCGCACATATATATATATATATATATATATATATATATATATATATATATATATATATATATATATATGCTCTTCTAATGCGTAGAGCAAATGAATGGAATAATTTGCCGTCGTCTGTCTTTACATCCGCACACAATCAGAGCGTTTTCAAATCAAGAGTGTCAAGGCTTTTGCTACGCTAAGACAGTGCGATTTACCATTTAGGGTTTCATCACCACTTACACACAGGTGGGATTGTGATCAAGCACTGCCTTATAATATATAAAAAAAACTATATGAATTTATATTTATAATATTAACAATGCTATAAACATTGCTAATATTCCCCTTAACCACTCGTGGTGAGCTTAAATTGCTTGTGTTACGAGTGGTTCACGCCAGTAGTCGAATGGTGGATTCGAACCCACGACCTTTTTGAGTTCGCGGTCCGCGCCCTGCCATTAGGCTACTGTCGCATTAATTGCATTTATATCTTGGTAATTGTAATCAACCGAGTAGTGATGATGTAAGAATATCCACTACTTGTCCCGTGGGTGCCGTAAGAGGTGACTTCCGACTGATCAAATCTAAAGATGTCATAGTTGTTTGAGTTTGTATAGAATATCTGAACTGGGTTACAATTTATGGCACCTTCAGCAATTACTATCAGGTACATTGTATTTGATGATTGTCTTATTTAGGGGCGAGGGTGGGGTCAAATTTTTTTCCTAGGGCACCTAGGATAGCTGTAGAAAGCATTTTATAAAGAAAGGAAGCTTCTAAATAAATATATTGGCTATATAACTACAAGCGAGAATAATTTTCCGCAGCAACTTACATCCCTCTAGATTAACATCTTTTAAAACTTCGGTCTCCGTAAGCGGAACATTTTATTTACTTTTCACAATTCGCCGACGACGGTAGAAGTACTGAATGAAGCTTCAGCGCCGGTAAATACCCCGCTTTAGCCAAATGAATAGGTAATTATACCACGAATGTTGTAAGGAATTCATTTTGTTGCGGACGCAATTTAAATTCAGCGAGAGACATTTTATTCATGCTGGTAACTATTAAGGAATTTTGACAGGAATAATTTTAAAACTTTTGACATTCTACAGTTTTAATAGTTTCATAGTAATGTGGCGTAATTTAAAATGATATACTGGGTTATTTTGCCATAACCAGCCAAATTTGCAAAGAAGGTTTAGTATATGCAATATAGGCAAATGGTGAAAAATATATCTTTTTATTTTTAAAATTCAAAATGCGTGGTAATGAATTATTTTAACTAATTATACCACGCACGCGCACATCAACTTCAGGCTTCGTCATCGTCATCGTCATCGTCATCGTCTTCAACTTGATGTCTTGACATCCTGCAAGCTATCTAACAAGGATCATCCCAGGACTGGAATAATAATGCTTCCTGTTCCTTCAAGCTACTCTCTGCGCTATAGTGATCGGCACGGCTCTGAGCCTTATTGCTCGTTTCCGTTTCACGGCACTCTCGCAGATTACTTGCCTTCTTCTGGACTCACCGCAGACTACAGGGCGATGCCCCGGGAGCTTACACATTTGTCGACAACTAGACTGCACCATGGACCTCCGGTCTGAGCAGGAGAAGTGATATACACCGAAATGCAAAGAAACCTAAATCGCGCTACCAAAGTTCTGAAGATACCGGGCTATTATAGAACAGCCCTGAATTATTACACGGAGCGTTGGCCGCTCCCCGGGCAGAACAACTCGCCCGGTGGGAGATCTCCCTTTCTCCTTCTACGGCCAAATCATTATTTATATATTTGATCTTAAGTTTAAATATTGGCTACTCCTTGAAAAATAACCTTGTAAATTCAAATTATTTTCAGAATCAGAACAATTTATTTCCCCGATCATATGTATTAGATACATAATAATATAATCAAATTCAACTATGTCCTACCCTGTGGACATATGAAGTACAATATTTTTGCAATTCAATTAAAGTTTCTAAAAAAATAATTGTATGAAATGCGAATGCGACATAAACAAAACATGAATGAATACACAATTTGAGAAAAAAAGGTTAATTATATCGGAAATATAAATATATCATAAATATATTGTTTAATGATTATGCAAATTTTTAAATAATGACCATGCAATCTAACTCAAATAATTAGTGACACATTTTTGTTCTTTTTTCATAATGATTTCTTAAATTTACGCGAATACTACATATTGAATAAAACTATTATTTACGGATTATATCGCGCTTAATTACTACTTTAATTTATTTTTATTATCCCGACGTTTCGGGTGCTTTACAGCACCCATGGTCACGGGGTGACTAAGATGTTTGACGTCCCAATGTCATAGTTAGTCCGGCTACCTTCAGTTTTTGAATATTAATTTTTGGTCCGATTTACGCAAAACGAGCTTATAGTATCATGAAGTCTTGCAGTGGTATGCTAAACGTCGGGATAATAAAAATAAGTTAAAGTAGTGATTAAACGCGATAAAATCCGTAAATAATAGTTTTATTCAATGTTCTTTTTCATTTAAATTTATAAATTTATTTAAAAAATATTATTAAATAAAATGTAATAAAATAATATCTATGTCAAGAGAGTGGAGTGATGACCTGGTAAGACATTCAGGAAGTCGATGGATGCGGGTGGCTCAGGACCGTGCTTTATGGCATTACTTTGGGCCTATGTTCAGCAGTGGACTTGTGAAGGGCTGTAATGATGATGATGATGATGATTTTATCAACATTTCGTTTTATTTTCAAATATACTTACACCCAAGTTTTTTGGATATAATCACTCTTTCATTGCTCTTTATATGTGACGTTTCAATACAATCAGTTCAGTCATTTAAAAACCGGACATATAGATAGACAAACAACCATTTTAAAAATTGTAAATCATATCTAAATGGCATGCAGAGAACACCCTCAGTCGTATATAAGGCTCGAGTGTGAAACACCGCCAACTTCCCGCCTCCGTGCAGCTACTTAAAAGTTCTGGACAGAAAAACTCAATAATTGTTTTTTATAGTAAATGACGTCCTGGGCTTGAATCCCGTAGCGGCTCCGAGTTTCGAAACCAGGAAGTCATTTACGACCTCACACGCAGCCCCTTTTACACCACTAGACCGACGACGCAGCTTTACCTCCCACAACAGAACGGAGTTTGTTTTCGAGTTCTGAATAACATAACTAAGAGAAACTTGTTTCCAACTTCTGAAAAAACTTATATAGGCTGTTAATTTTTACAGCACTTTAACAAAAAAAAACAACATGTTTGACTAAAAATACCAAGCGGCACAAAACAAATTATTTACCTTTCACAACGCGGAACCATTTGTTACATCTCCCCCCATTTTAGAGTGGCGCTCCTTTTTTTAGCGGAAACATATTTTGTCAGACGCGTCTCATGCGTCACCCGGCGACATTTTACGGGAATTGGTGTCACGAACAGGGTTCCAAGATTTTATACAAAACTTTTCTAGTGAGTGGCATTACGTATCTATATCTCTTCTGTATTATTTATTAATAATCGACTGCCTCGTTGGTCTGCTGGTTGTAAATGCGCTGCTAAGCATTAAGTCCCGAGTCGAGCCAATAAAATCAGTAATTGAGTTCTTAGTAGTAGCTTGGAGTAAGAAAGAAAGTTCATTGTGTTTTAATCCCAGTGCCTCGGAAAGCACCGTGTCGTGGTACACAAAACTTTAACAGTTTTATTACAAAAAGTAGTTTATAATTAGTCTTTCGTTTAAATTAGAATCTATTTCATGAAAATTGGCCCCCGAAAGTATGTTAACAAAAATAAATAGTATTAGATTTTCTCAGCAAATGTCTGATTTCGCGAAAACTGTGGCGATGCGGTTAGAAAATTTCTATATAAAAAAACTGTGTCGAAAATACAGTTTTAATCGGAGACTATTAATTAATTATACTACTATTAACACGAAATACATATATGCACTGTATTTTGTAAAATACGTACTGGCGTAAAATAAATGTTACAAATTCAAATTTGTATTAGATTAATGAAGTGTAGTGGATATAGTGAAATATGACGTCACTGCTGCGTATTCGTGGAATGTTCACGCCGTTGTGATATGTGAAGAGGGCGTTAGTGTGTTAACAAGACAGTAAGTGTTATTTCCAGAAGGTGATTTTACACCTAACCGTTTGAAATTTGATATTTTCTCATGTACTCTCATTTGGGTTTCGTACATGTACATACATAAAATCCATCTGTTGTTTGTTCTCGCATCTGCATTTTGATTCTGAATCGAGGACAGATGTAAACGTCTGTGGGCGGCAACGTCCACTTACAATCAGGTGGACTGTGTGCTTGTTTCTCACCCTATTCTATAAGAAAAGTAACACGTATTGGGTTTTTTCGATGTATGGTAGTTTCCCGACAATGTCCAGACGTGGATGTATACGGGCTGATTAAAGAAGATAACGATAATGGTGGAATAAAACATGATATCAAAGATGAAATCTAGTGTTGTGATCGCTTATCCTTCTGCCACAGGTGGCGATTATGGCGAACTGGTATACCCTGCATTTGTTATCTTTAGTGCCTATTTATAATGCTAGCTCAGGCTTAAGATTTAGTGAGCATTGCAGTAGAACAGTTTGGCCACCTCTGTCTGCTTCCATCTTATATCTACGGTTGTCTACGGACCTTTTTTATATCTAGTATAAGGGTGATACACGAGCACACAGTCCACTTGATGGTAAGTGGTGGCCCATAGACACCTACATTAAACTTCATTGAGAAACCAAACGCAGATGCGTTGTCACCCCTGAGGACTAAGATGGAATACCTCGTTTTCAGTAAAAAGGGTCTCCAGATCCAGATATTTACAGCTACCATACGAAACACAGCAGCATTAAGCTGCTATTTTAGGCTGGTATTCTGTGAGAGTGTGGTCCTTCCCTGATCGGGCCGACTCATTCGTGCTACAACCATAATATAGCTGCAACGTGGCTCTACCACGTACAAAAACCTAAAAAAGTAATAAAAAATTGTTTCTAAAACTCTTTGTGCCCGTTTCTGTATAACAGAACATATTAACGACGGAAGACCATAAGATGCTACTCTTCCGTTCATCGTGTTCAGAAAATTATGGTAATGGTTCTCATGATGAGTTTACGTCTTTAGCGTTGTAAAGATTCCCATTCATAGTAACGGACCGCCTTAACGCACCCACGCCTATCGCGGTCAAAATAAAGTAAATCTTTTGCCTAAGGTCTTTAAGTATAAAATCGCTTGACGTTGCTGCATATAGCTCCAGGTTAGGGGAGGAAAGAAGATTGTTAAAATGAGGAGAGCTTAATTTTAGGCGCTGAAAACGAGAAATGAAATGACAATAAGATCTTACAGACGTACTAAGGAGATTTAATATTTTTTATATTTATAATCTAAATTTACAGTCATTTAGTGGCAGCGATAACAACTTAGTAAAAACTATAGTTGTCAACCCGCTTGCAAAGTGTGGCAACTGTGGCAATTATCTGATAAAAAAGAAGCAATTTAAGTGAGAGGTTTCAGGTTCAGCAGTGAACCTGAAACCTTTAATGAAATAAAATTTTGTAAAAAATTTGATGAAGGTGTGCACTTCTTCTTGGTAACAATTCAATAAAAATTGTGGTTGCTAAGCCGTTTGCTAAGCGTGCCAACTATGGCAAATATAATGTGTGACATTGACTTTGAGACAACCTAAGGTGGAAGCTTCAGTTTCAGCAGTGAACTTTTAATTAGACATGGGCCGAATATAGATTTCACCGAATACGAATATTCGACCGAAAGTTCGGTAAAACTTTTACCGAGCTGAAAATTCGTCCGAATATTATTCGGCAGGATCACCTCGGTACCTACCTAATCAATTTACGTCGCAACTTGTTGCCGTAAAGCGCGCGGTATTAGCGCCGGAGCCTGCCCCTCGCTCTCCTGGCACAGCTAACATGTTATTACATCATCTAGTACTGAGCAAATTGCCTGCACACGCTTATGTTTTGACCATTTTGGTGGAAAAAATGGTATTTTGTTGTGTTATTCTTAGTGAAAATCGATAATTATATAATTAAAATGAGTGGCAGGTGATCTACGAGTACTATTTGGAATCATTTTAGAGAAACTGACGACCAAAGTAAACTGAAATGTTTCTTTGTTTGATTCCAAAAATATTTTATCAAGCTTTCTATTACTATAATTGGAAATAAATCTACAGTGCCTCAAAACCATAACATTTCAAGTAGATTTATTCCATAAATAAAATATACTTTCCACAGTAAAATTATGAAAGACATGTGTACGTGGTTCTAATACCTCTGCATTGTCTACCCCAATCTACCCCAATTTGCTAATAAAAGTGTATTTTAATTTAATTACATTTTAATGACTTTTTGACTACTGATTCTCATAACGAATTTAACGGAAAACACAGGGTTTTTTGTTAGATGTTTCCTTGTTGACTTCCATTTGGCACGATCCTGACACACATCCTGACACGATTCATATACATACGTGCTTGTCGGAGGTATTCTTAATCTGGCCCATCTTCAATATATCGCCAATTTGTTCGATAAACTTTCGCCTAGGGCGTCCCTTCCCGAGTTTGACATCCATTTCTGCACTCTATTAAATATATTGTATTATAGATATAAATAATCTCCATCCTCCAAGGCCAAAATAAGGAATAAACTATCCGACCTACATACTCCGAATTCCCAGCCGCACAATATGCGGTGCGCTCAATAAATTCCAGAAAGCGCTGTATTGAATGATCTCGAGCATTTTGCAGCGCCTTATCATAGGGCCTTTTGAGCTCGGGGCAAATCGCCGGGAAATTGAATCACCCAAATGTTGTATTCATGAAAATATATTTCAGTCTAATATACCTACAAAAATTCAAGTCAGGTAATCGCACCCTTCAGAATAAACTGAGAAGTATCTGAATCAAATCAAAGAAAGAGGTTTTTAGACTTCGTTTGTATTTGTCTGTGTAAATAGGTGTAATAACATAGATTTTTTGTTGATTATAATATGACAATGGTTAACAAGCTGATCATCTTTTTGATAAAGCCACGCTGTAGCTATATAATGGCTGCAATACGATTGGGTCGGTTCGACCGGGGTAGGACCACGCTCTCACGTAACACCAACGCGAAACAACGGAATAATGCTGTGTTTCATTTGGTGACTGTAGAGAACTGGAGACCTTTTATCGAACCTTTTCACTGGAAACGAGGCATTCCATTTTAGCCTCAGAGATGACAATCATCTGCATTTTATTCTTGATCAAATTTAGATGTGGATATCTACGGGCTACAATGTCGACTTACCGTCAATTAGACTGTGTGCTCGTTCGTCCCCTTAATTTATAAAAAAACTGCTACTGGATCTAAGAAACACTTGCAATAAACTTGAATCAAAGAAGACCCCTCAGAAATGAGAGGGAGCCTTTGCCCAACAGTGGCACGTATACATAATACATACATAATAAACATAAATTTTTTAAACAAAATTTAAAGAATCAGTTTATATATACATCCCACGGCTGGGCAAAGGCCTCTTCTCATATCAGTCAGAGTCTATTAAAGGTCATGTTGTTACTAACCAGTAGATTTTGACGTTCGTAACAGTTTTATAAACCCCAAATTACAAACAACAAATTTTGAATTGACTTGATTGTGTGAAGTCCCAGGTTGCTCGCTCGTTGTGAAATTCACAGCGAGTGCTTAACCCCTGTGAAATGGCATCTCCTATTCCTAAAGACTATGTTACAATGCCTTATCCTTACCCTTCAAACCGGCGATAACATGTTTATTACTGAGATAGAAACGCGACTATATATATATATACCGATCTAGCTCGGACTCATTTTTAGAAAATGTTGTTTTATCCATGTTTTTAGGAAATGAAAAACTGCTACAATATCATTAGAATACGAAAGTAAACTTTGCCAGTGTTTAAGAGGTTATAACAGCTCAACTGGAATATCGAGTGGTCCTGAAATCATAGGACGCCGGTTCGAGTCCAAGTTTCTCCGGTCCGACCTTTTTTTTCCTTTTTTTTCAAGTTTCTTCTTTTGTGAGAAAATATATTATTTGGAGCCCTTTTTAGTATATTTTTTTAAACACGAAAAATAATGACCGGGATGATCAATAAATTTTATTCATATTTCATCAATATGA